TTTCTTAATATACGGCATCTAACAATGGTTAAAAAATATCTTAATAACTCAAAATTAATACTTATTTCTTATTCGTTTGTGTTCCAATTCATTAAAAATAGATTTTTGACATTTGGGTTTCTTAATCCTGGATCTCTTGGTACTCGACACGAGGAATTTTTAGTTGCAATAGAGAGACATTCGGTAGATATCATGGCCATAAATGAAACTTGGCTCAGGGACGGCGAGGAGAAGCGGGCTCCTGCGCCTCCAGGCTACAGGCTCCGGCACATCCCGCGCCCGCCTAGCGTTCGAGCGCGCGGCGGGGGCGTTGGTTTCTACATTCGTAAAGGTGTCTATGCTCGACAAATCAAACCACCAAATATTAATTCAGTAGAACAAATGTGGCTGAGTGTTACCCTAAATGGCCTCAAGTTTGCGATCGGAACTGCATANTTTCTTTCTTTCTTTCTTTCTTTCTTTCAATGCCTGGAACGAATTCAAATGCACCCGTACTTGCTTCGTAGTCGCGCTATCGTACCGCAGCTTCTTTCGGCACCTTGTCTTCTCAGATAGAGGTGATTCATTACCACCCAGGTTTTGTTACCGTCCACATAGCTTTGACTATGCTATCCCGCAAGAATATGGCGTGCCGTATACTCCTAGCCACCACAATACAGTTAGAGCTCGAAGGATCCATGCCCAGTCATGGTGCGATCGCTCGAGCAACCTTAAACTTCTGCACGAGTGCGAATAAAGTTCAGTGACCCAACTTAGCTACGGCGAGGTAGTTTATCAACTACTAGACTACAGCACAGTCTAGCGAGTCTTACGTCAAACGGCTTCTCTGTCCTCCTAATGCGGGGCTTTCACCTCGTTCTTTACGCTGCATTAAAGCCGACGATGTAGCCCTGTAGACTTTCTGGGCCTGTTAAGGTCTTAGAAGATGGGCAGTGTTACTTTTCCCTACGAGGGTGATGCCCTATATGAACGAATTATGCTTTTGAGGGTGCCAGTATAGAGCTCCCGGCCTTTCTCCATAGCCTTCCGACATAGAGTTTTCGGACCTCCAAATTAGGGAAGCAGCCATGAAAAAGCAAGTTGTCTTCCATACGCATGGCGACGAATTGGAAAAAGTGCGAGCTGCCACTGTTTATATACAGTTAAGGTCACCGTATTTGCACTCACTACTTGGCGCCACTGGTGATTAACAGGATAACTCTTAGATATTTGATCTGGGCCTTAGTTTTGACAGTGGTGTGGGCGTCAGGTTAAGGTGTCAGGGATGCCTTTAAACATAATGCCGTCTATTTCGCCCAGGCAAGCCACCTCGCTGTGATAGTTATTTATTTATTTATTTATTTATGAGGATATTATATATTAGGATTAGGATTTATTTATTTTAGCCTGGATGCGGGCAGCGCAGGACCGTTCATTGTGGAAAACCTTGGGGGAGGCCTTTGTCCAGCAGTGGACGTCATTTGGCTGAAACGACGAGGATATTCATGTAATGATGAACTATCTGCATGACAGAAAATATGAAATATTGAAATATCCATGCTCTTGAAAAGGGTTCCATTTAGAACCCTGTTGTATTCAATGTTCCACAAGATCGAACTCGAAAAAGAGCCACCTTGATCTTCGGACTCGATGCCATGCCGTCAAACCTGGCCGGCACTATTGACAAAGAAAATTTTCCGGTTCTACAAGTATTCTTCTGTCAAAAGACCCCTTAGATAAGGAAGAATCTTAAGGTATTGAGTGCCTCCAAAATGCAACTATCTGGGAAACGAGGCGGGACGCTGTTATGCCTCGTCGAGCAGGACTATGGGCCTAGAGTGAGAGTTACGGTCAGTAGTAGCTGAACTTTGTTCCCGTGTACAATTGCTTATGTGGCAGTTAATAATTTAAATAAATATATTACTCCGACGTAAAAGTTAGTAAGTACCACTTACGTCATTTGTAATTAGAAACTTTCCGTTGTATAAGTGAGTAAATGACAAATAATACACTTATTGTGATTATTTTTTGATAATTCTTCATGTTTTATAAAATATACCTCATATAAAACTATTATACCAAATTTCATCAATGTATGATAAATAGAACGCGAGCTACACATGTTTAAACCTTCAAACCACTCTCCTGTAAAATTGGCCGTTTTCAGATACGTTTTTATACGTAGGGACCGTCGAATTCTATTCTCTTTCTATGATCTGAGGGTAGGACGCACAAAAAACTAAAGCGTACATAAGTTACTCAAAAATCATGTCTGTAGTTCTTGAGATTATTTTTTGTAAGCTCATAAACTTAATAGTTTTACTACTTAATAAGACAATGGTTATAAAATATATTTGTTAATTTATTAACTGGAAATTTTTCCTAAGGAAGGCAATAAAACGTTGATTGCTTGTCCGGATAAAAAAATTTAGTGTCGCTACTCTCCACTAGATGGCGTTAATCGATTCGAAACTAAGGGCTCGCGCATACGGGTGACTTTCAGTATGTTACTCCATAGATGAAAAAAAGTAGATACTGAGTAGTCTCTCTTGTTATAAATTGTCACGCGAGAACCAAGTCGATTTAAATATGTAGTTTAAGATCATTGAATACTAACATTCTATGCAGCTTTCTCGCTCGCGGCAGGGTCGAAGGGTCCTCTTTGCAAACAAACTGCCGTGTCCCCAGCACGTAGTCCCTCAAGTACTGGTCAGGGCTCAGAGTACTGAAGTCGATGTAAAAAGTCCGGTCGTCTTCGGCGCTGATTCGCTTGCGGAGGGCCAAGAAACGGTCGTTGCAGAAATGCCACTCTTTCGTTGTGTAATATTGGAGCACGTTGAGCCCGTGGCTGATGCGTTTTTGCACGTTCACCAAACTGAAAAAGAAATAAATACTTAAGAAAGAAAGAAATAACGAGAGAAAGGGAACACGGAAAAGAGAAGGAAAAAAAGAAAGAATAATATTTGTAGGAACCGAGGCTATAGTCTGGTCGCCGAGCACGTAGAATTTTGTCCAATGACCCCAAGCTACCCATCCTTATCGCTCGCGCGTAATTATATTGCTGTCGCGCTCGGACAATCAATGCGGCCGCCCGTCGCACAGTCGCGACAGCAATATAATTACGCGCCAGCGATAAGGATAGTTAGCTTGGGGTCATTGGACAAAATTCTACGTGCTCGGCGACCAGACTTTAGGAGGTTTACGGATATATCCACACATATTATCCGCCTAAGTCTATATTGTTCTCAGACCTTGAAGGCTCAGGTTCGATTCTCAGTGGGTCAACATTTTCTGCTTAATTTGTATGGGGTGGTATAAAACTTGTTCTAAGACCGTTTGTCCTTAGCAAGCTATCATCTGTCGCACTAACAACAATGTTAACAGCATTGTTGTGTTCCGGCAGTTAAAGGTAAGATAGCCAGTTCCTCCGTGGTTGAGGATTCCGGGTGAAGCTTGCTTCCATCTTCAGCCTGATCATCACTTACCATCAGGTGAGATCCAGGCCAAGAGCTTACTCGTTGTATAAAAATAAAGTAAAATAAAATACAAACAACTTACAAAGTCTTCTTCCTCAACAAAAAAAGCAGTCCGTCCACCAAGTACGCCGGTACCAAGTGGAAGAAGAACACGCATAGTAAGTGCTGCCAGTAATACGACTTGATTGTCCCCCCCACGTGCCAGAGGGCCATTGTGTGGGGGTATTCCTCCACCCATTTTCTACCTGTAAAGAAAATTATACCATTTTTGTGGGTAATTTATAACGCTATGTTTCTATTTAGCGGCCGATCGCGACTTCGTTCGCGTGGACCCCGTTTTACCCCCTTAGGGCTTGAATTTTGCAAAATCCTGTCTTAGTGAGCACCTACGTTCTAAAAGGAACCTCCATGCAAAATTTGAGACTCCTAACACTTGTAGTTACTGAGATATCTTGATGAGTGAGTGAGTCAGTGACCTTTCGCTTTAATTTAAATAGATTAACTGACTGAGCCAACTAGCAGTCGAATGCTGTACGTAAGCCTTTGATCGGTCCACTTATGGCCCTATCGAAAATAAAACGAATCCGTTTTTTACGGAGCACTACAATCGGGATGTTCATATCAATGTTAATATAGGTACACACGTAGGTAAGTATACCTAACTGTTGTGTTATCTGTTATCCTTAACAGTTTAGTTTACTCCAGTACAGTCCAAGGATCCTGCATTACTGGATCGCGCAAAACTAGATTTCATCGGTAACGGGACTAACCTCCTCTCGTTCCCACCACTGCAACTCCTGTGTAGCCAGGATCTAGACCTTGACCGCCAATAAAAACACAACCAGTGAAGGCCAAGTTTGTCCTGGGGAAAGTTATTTAAAATTGCATTGGACCCGCAACGAAATCAGAAGAACATAGGACGAGTTCGAAGTTAAGGTTCGACTTCCCTCCATTGCAAAGGAGTTGACAGGTAACAAACAATTCCTTGGGAAATGACCCTTAGTGGAAGGCATGCTCACACTACAGCTATAAATCTTACCCAGTTCTATGATTTCTCCCCAAGAGATCTTGACCACTCCGGACAGTGTGATGTTGTAGACACTAGCATTACGAGGTCTGCAAATAAGGAATACAAGCGAGTAGGTATTAATAAAATAGAAAGAAAGAAACATTTATTGCCATGGACATCATAAAAGACAAAAGATGTGAATAAAAAAAGCAAATAAGACAGAGGTGACATAAAACATACAATGGAAGAGAAAGTAAACTGAGCAGTGCCACCCTGTCGCACAGCGATGTCCATCGCAATGGGACCCCACTCAGCATATGCGGTGCCCCCCGTGAGGAAGGCCACGACGCTGGTTTTCAGTGTGCCACATGCCGAGTGCCGAAATAAATAAAATGCTTTTATTTCCACAAAACAGTTTTGGCTACAATTATTAATTGACCAAAGGAAGAAATCGACCTAAGGGGAAGAGGACGGTTGGGAGGCCAATGGAAAGGTGGGCCTCCCAACCCAACATTCCTCCTCCCTTGTGATGATGGTGTGTAGTCAGTCAATCGTTGAAATGGCCACAATGATGTGCCCGGGCACATCGTGAAATGCCGACACTTTATGATTTGGCCGAATATATCGCGACTTGAGAAGTCTTTGTGTTTGTGTTATTATTATCCAGTGATTTTTGGTACGACTTCAATTGAGAAAAATGAGACAGATTTTCTGTGACAGACCGAAAAGGCACTCTGCTTCAGCCATAGATGACTGTATACAGGATAAGCAATATTGTGGACAAATCGGGCAAAGTTGCGGGTAATTTCCAAAATACGCTCTCTTACTTGTCTAAAGCGGTGGCATAAGCGATCAGGATGCAGCCGTTGACAACCACGTCGACAGACACCGCGTCAGCCGTGTATGAAGGCTCGCAGTGCATCGACCGGATCACACCTGGAAAGAAAAACAAGAATCAGGTTTATTACGATGAACATCACTTGGTTAAGGACAAAGATGGTAGGTACACGGAAAAGACAGAAATAGCACATAAATATTACAAGGAAATAAAAAGTAAACTGAGCAGTGCCACCCTGTTGCAACAGCGATGCCCATCGCAATGAGACTCCCTCCACTCAGCATATTATGCCGTGGCCCACGGTGGGGAAGGCCACGACGCTGATTTTCACTTTTCAGTGTGCCCTATGCTGAGTGGAAGTCACGGACACTAAGGTGGGACTTCTGTCAGTTGCAACATGGAGGTTGGACAGAAGCCAGTGGGCTAACTCCCAATCCATATTTATGAAGCAATTTTTTGAATTCTCAAAAGCAACAGCGAGCTGTCCCATTCATCCACGCCATGTCTCCACTGCAGAACCACGTATCCTTTAATACAAAAAGAAAGATTTGACCTATCCATACGCTGCCTAGCTAAATGGGAATGAGGAGGTCTGATGTTCGCTAAGTTGTCCGTTAGTCACTTTTTGAGGCATCTTCAAGTATTGTGGAGGTGGTTCTATGCTACTCTGCCGGAAAGATCCACACTTCTAGAATATTGATTTAAGTCTTAAAAAGAGGTAATTATGTTTCTTACCCTTGCCACTGCCAATGAGTAGTCCAGTGGGGCCATTCAGGTTGTCCACCCATCCTGGGATCGGCTCCTTCCATACTGCAGTCACTGGAAGAAAAACCATCATACATACAGCATTTGAAAAACCCTGTGTGTTCAGAACTTTCTATATGAACCTGTCATAAAATAAACTTTAGCTTACCAGAAAGGGACTGAAATAGAATTTTTTACTCACAACGGAGAAGGTCTTGGCCAGCATCTCACCTGATGGAAAGTGACGATCAGAACAAAGATGTCCCCTTCCCTAACATTATTTTAAGATGGTAGTAGCTAGCCAGGTGTACTTAGAACACTCCCACATTACTACCTTACTTATGGTATAACGAGCAGAACTGTGCCTCCACTGGGAATCGAACCTGGGATCTCTGGGTCTGATTGTCTGAGACACAGGGTCTTCCCACTGACGTCTTTGGTACATTAGACTAAGGTTGTGTTGTCAACTTTTTGACCACTTTTAGTTCGTTCATTTCAGCCGAAAGACGTCCACTGCTGGACAAAGGCCTCCCCCAAGGATTTCCACAAAGACCGGTCATGCGCCGCTTGCATCCAGGTACCTCCCGCGACCTTCACCAGATCGTCGGTCCACCTAGTGGGAGGCCTGCCCACGCTACGTCTTCCGGCTCGTGGTCACCACTCAAGAACTTTCCTGCCCCACTTTGGGTGTCACAAACTGTTTGAAGCTGATTGTACGTTACTAAAATAAAGTGTGTTCTATCCTTCTATCTGCTGTGAGGTAAACCATACTCACCTATGGAAGGTCTAGCAATGGCTATGGGGAACTTGTTGCTGTATTCAGCCACCAGTTCCTCCGTGATGGCTTTTGTATAGGAGTAAGTGTTGGGTTCGGATTTGATGAGTCTGAAAAGAAGCCAATGAAAACTGGGTTTAAGGTAGGTAAATAAATAAGTAGGTAGGTGTCGGACTAGCCAACTCTAGATTCGAAGAACGCTGGTTTGACCCCGCCGTCGATAGACTAAGTTAAGTATTCTTCGTGTCGTGTCAGCAAAAAACCTACAGTGTCAGCTCAAAACTTCGCCACTAGAGTGGCGTTGTCAGCAGCATTAATTAAATTTTCCTTCGTGCAGTTGTTTGGGCACACAGGGCATAAAATCACACTTGCACTCCAAGTTTGAGTCATCCAAGAATCCCCACCTGAACTAGGTATTATAATAATCGTTTGTGGAGAACCCACTCGTAACACAAGCATAATATTATTTAGCTTAGCACGAGTTAAGTATGGAATTCTCAAAAAATGAGTCACGCAGTCGAGAATAAATTTAATTTGCTTTTTTAATGTCAAAATTACCAAGTTGATAATAATTATCAGCGATGCAGGATGCAGTTGCGTACAACTATATTTTTAGTTAAGATAGCATAATCAATATCAGGTTATTGTCTCCACTGCAGGAGCACGACCCTCTCCAATTTCTTTCTTTCTTTCTTTGGATTTGGTTGGTTCACCTTTTGAGTGGACGTCCCACGCTGCGTTTTCTACTACATATCCTACACTCCAGAACCTTGCTGAACCATTGGTCGTCTGTTCTTTTTTGGGTACATATTATAGCCTTAAGTTTCAACCGCATCAACGCGTGCAGATCGCCATCGCCAGCGCGATCATAGGCTAACAGCACGTCGCGCGATCCATGACAGTTCACGCGACCTGTCATTGGCCTATGGTCGCGCAGTGAACACGTTGGCGATGGCGATCTGCACGCATTGGTGTGGTTGAAGCTTTACGAAACGAACGAGTCTGTGGCGGCCATCCGCCACATTCCTAACTTGGACCACCGCCTTAGATTTCGGAGCGATTCGCTTCCGCCTATGAGATTGGGCCAACCCCGACTTGACGGAACGTGAACGAATCGTTGGCGCATGCGTGCTGCGGCCGTCACAATACATCTGCGTCACTCGCACACCCGTGAAGACGTATGCTGCCGTCTCGCTTCAACGCCGGTCACCGATCTCCGCTCACTCATCGCCGTTGAAGAGATTTGAAATATGTCGTCGTGACACTTCTTCCGCGATCGCTTTGCTCTCAACATTTAAATAATTTTATTGCTATTGTATCCTAATCAATCCCTTGCTATTCCTGTTGTTAAATATAATTTCCAATCCGCTAATAACATTCTTCCTTCCACCGTGTTCTTCCTACCTTTATTTCCTGACTCGAACTGCCTTACAATAATCTTAACGATTAAGAATCGGAATAGGATTCCGAGGAAAACATATGGTGGGTTGTTGGCAAATAACCCCCATAAGTCGTTTCATACAGCGTACTAGAGATTTCCAGCACTCACTCAGGCTCCAAATACTTCAGCAGGTCGTCGTCCATCCACTCGCAGATGTCCATGACCTTCCTTGGGTCGTGGACCGCTGGGTACAGCTTCTCTTCCAGCACGTCCAGCTCGCAGCGGCAGTAGGCTGTCGAGAGATGAACGAACACCTGGGAAAGAGGATAACATATACAGGGACTATTCCCACCTCTCTTTCCCACCGCTGAAACTCCTGTGTAACCAGGAACTACAGCTTGACCGTCTAACCCAACCAGTGAAGGTCAAGTTTGTCCCGGGGAAAAGTTAAACTGTCACTAGGGAATATAAGGCTTTGCACTGGGGGGGAAGTCGAACCATAACTTCGAATCCTCCTATGTTCTTCTGATTAATTTTGTCGCGGGTCCAATAGCTGTTAACTTTCCTCGGGCGGCGGTTGTTGGCGGTCAAGCTGTAGATCCTGGCTACACAGCAAATACCTGCTTTTATTGGTTGGTCGAGTGGTTCTATAAGAGGCAAAGTAGAATAACACCATCCTCACTCTTCCCGTGGATGTCGTAAGCGACAAAGGGACAAATATATGAACATAAGCCCAATTCCTGATCCATCTGGTTAGGTTAAAGTTGAGGAGGCTGTGATGAGTAGCGCTGTTAGATCATAAAGTCGCGCGTAATTATATTGCTATCGCGCTCATACACTCACTGCGGCCGCCCGTCGCAAAGTCGCGACAGCAATATAATCACGCGCTAGCGATAAGGAAGGGTAGCTTGGGGTCATTGGACGAAATTCTACGTGTTCGGCAACCGGACTTTACGAGTAATAAAAAAATAGTCACCTCTAGTTTTTCCATCGTTTCAGCTAACTGCAAAACTCTGTCCGTTCCTACAGTGTTGAGGTTGACTGCGTCTTTCAGTTTCTGATCGAATCTGTAAACGGGAAACAGATGTAAATATAGGTACATCAAAAATTGTAAGTGATAATTTTTTATTATACTAGCTTGCTGGTGAGATAAGCTGAACTGTATCAAACTATTGTAACATCTACCTTGTTGTATTACCTTGTCTCGGTGAATAAATGATCTTTTATCTTTTTATCTTTTAAAAGTTGGAGGCAGAAGACTGAAAAACCTTTCTGATTTTGAAATTGAGGGAAGTCGATACACTTGGAGCTCCTTTAATCTACGGAGTCTACTGACCCGTGGTGGGTTTAGACAGTCAGCTATCCGAAAGGTCAATCTGGTAGACATCATCATCTCATTTCAGCCACAGGACGTCCACTGCTGAACATAGGCCTCCTCCAATGATTTCCACAATGGCTGGTTGGTGGCGGCCACTGGCGGCCTGCATCCAGCACCTTCCTGCTACCTGGCCGTGTGTGGGCGCCCTACGCTGCGCTTTCCGGTATCTAGTAGACTTATCATGGGTAATTTGTTTCTCGTCAAATAAATACTCTTTCTTTCTTTCTTTTTGACTCTGTTCCATTCTTTCTGTCGTTCTTTTATAACTTCATCTCACCTGATGGAAAGTGATGACTGCCGAAAGTGGAAGCAAGTTTCAACCTGAATCCTCAACCACAGAAGAACAAGCTATCTTATCTCTAACAGCCGGAACACAACAATGCTGTTAACAAAAAATTCAGCCCCTACTGGGAATCGAACCCGGGACCTCTGGGTCTGAAGGTGGTATTACCACTAGCTAGAACGCAGAGGCGGTTTCTTTTTTCATTCTGTCCTTCCTTCTTTCCTTCTTCCTACCTTACTTCTTTGGTTTTAAACCTTTTTTTGTCACCTGTCATCCGCTTTGCAATGGAGGAAAGTCGAACCTTCATTTCGAACTCCTCCTATGTTCTTCTGATTAATTTCGTTGCGGGTCCAGTGACAGTTTAACTTTCCCCCGGGATGTCAAACTGTAGATCCTGGCTACACAGGAGTTGTTGTGGTGGGAACGAGAGGTGGGAATAGTCCCGTTACTTCTTTCTACCTACCTGACACAAGCAGCGCTATGAAACACGATATGGCACCGCCTCTGCAGCTCCACTCTGTCATCGTTGGACATCCCCAGCCCCTCCTCCAGGATATCCCCCGGGATCAGCTTCAACTTCTGTAATACGTCTGGGTTCTTGTCTCGAATTAGCTCGAAGAGCTGGAAGAAAATAGTTGTTGAGAAGAAAGCTGAACATAAATTTGAATTATCAGTAAGTTGGCTTTTGAGTGCCACAGACTCTCACACTTTCGAATGAAGAATAATGAGACTTCCGGTATTATTTTAAATTGGTACCTACCTACAAGCAATTTTATAAGCCCAAAAACCTGATAATTAACGCCATCTGCTTGTGAGAAGTGAAATAAATCTTTCTAAGCTGTAAAGCTATATGCTCTGGTACATTTCGTGAAATTCTAGTAACAGGATCATTCTCTTGTGACCCCTTAAGTCAATTGCCCTCATTGATTGGTGGTGTCAAAGGCTAGATAAACAAAAATGTACCTTATTGCTGCTGATTAAGTCTTTAAGTCTCTCCTCACTGGTCAGCCCCTTCTTGTTCCTCAGCAGGAGATAGATCGTGTCTATCTGTGGACAGCTGCGGAGAAGCTTTTCTACCAAAGCCTGGAAAAAGGAGTTCATTTGAAATGCATAATCATCAACAAAATCTATAAGGAAGAAGGTACAGCCATTTGATGGCATTTTTACGCAGTCACTAACGATTATAGATCATTTTATTCACGAAGACGCGCCCCACCAATGTTTGGTCTCGGTCGCGCGGGGTGCGGGGAGTGTGATCCGAGCAATCCGAGCGGCATCATTGTAGTGTGCGTGTGCACTCATGGATGATTAAGCGTGTACCGATAACACTCAAACATTCGCGGAAGAATGGTGGGGCGCGTCTTCATGGATGAAACGATGTATAACCGATCGACTGCTAACTGCGCAGCTCGCTGGAATGCGACTCTCCCTCGCACTCAACCGCACAGATGTGCGGGTGAGTGAGTGAGTGAGGAGGTCCCCACGTTCGCCTCGTCCGTAGCAGAGCGTCGATGTGACGTCACAGCTGCCAGGTGCGCGACCGTGTTATAATGTGAAGTCACGGTAAGATCAGTCATTAATTTAGTTTCCACAGCAGGAGAAGGCCTTCCCAACCCGTCTGGATACTTGCGCGAAAGACATTAGCGCGAGCACACTAGCGCGAAAAGCCATTTACACGCATGGACACTTGCGCGAAAAGACACTAGCGCGAATCGATGTTAGCGCGAAAAGACATGAGCGCGAAAGACACTAGCGCGAAAAGACACTAGCGCGAATGGATGTTAGCAGGAAAAGACATAACGACGAAAAGACATTTGCGCGGAAGATCTTGCGCGGAAGACACTTGCGCCAAAAGACACTAGCGCGAATGGACGTTAGCGTGAAAAGTCTTGAGCGCGAAAGACACTAGCGTGAAAGACATTTGCGCGAAAACAGCAGTTTTCGCGTTATTAATCGCGAAAAGTATTTGTCTTGTCAGTTTGTGGCATTATTAGCTCCTGAATGACTGTTTGTTTGCTAATTAGAAAGTGGAGACTAAATGACCTAAGAATAATTCATACTTTATTAGATTTTTGCTTACCTTCCCAACAAATCCGGTCCCTCCTGTAACCAAAATGCATTTCCCTGCATAGAACTCTCCCACTGAGGGCGCCATGGCTCAATTCTGAAATAATAGATGAATATCAAATTAAAAAGCGAAAAGTCACTGACTGACGGACTCACTCATCACGTAATCTCAGAAACTACAAGTGCTAAAACCCGGTCTGTGAGCACGTAGAATTTTGTTCAATGACCCCAAGCTACCCATCCTTATCGCTCGCGCGTAATTATATTGCTGTCGCGACTGTGCGACGGGCGCCCGCAGTGATTGTGTGCGTGCTCACAGACCAGAGCCCCGATTACGGTAACTTTTAACGTCTACAATCCAGACGCGTTTCTGATTCTGCGATACGATTGGTCAAAACAGCTGACGTACGCTGTTGAACGAGCAATCGTATCGCAGAATGGAGAAGCGTGTCTGGATTGGAAACGTTAAAAGTTACCGTAATCGGGGCTCAGACTATAGAAGTCTCAAATTTTGCATGGGGGTTCCTTTTAGAACGTAGGTACTTACTAAGGCCCGGTTTTTTGATTCGTAGTTAAAATAACCAATGGTCAAATTTGACAGATGTCAAATGACAAGTGGTTAAATATCAGAAAAAAATGTTTTTCGAACAATGGTTAGCTTGACTTTTAGTACATTTTTTAACCATTAGTTTACATTTTGTTAATATTTAACCATTAGTAGCAAAATTTAACAATTAGTTATTTTAACTACGAATCAAAAAACCGGGCCTAAGACGGGTTTTGCAAAATTCAACCCCTAAGAGGGTAAAACGGGATCCACGCGTACGAAGTCTAAAGAACGTAACACACTTATCAACCCGGCAAGGGATCGTAACCGTATCAACTCGAGGCGGTCAGTATTCTTCGTATGAAACTCCATACTGCAACGCACACTTATCCGCACCGTAACGTAAACGCCTCGCCTCGCGGTTGACAGCGCGCGAAAGGCGATACGGTGTTGATCCCTTTCCGAGTTGATAAATGTGCTACGTCCTTAAGAATGTTTTTATTTACATTTATAGGTATTCATACCTACACCTACACATACAAACTAGTCTAGTAGGTACTATAGTTCATTATTATTATGAATGATGTCAATAAAAGTTCCATTGATCGCAAATATTTTTTGCATGATTATTCATATCATTAGAATATTAATGTTATGGAATACTATTTACATATGTACGAGTAATAGTACATTATGTACGTTTATGTTACGTCAAACTTGGTACTTTTATTTGTAAACTATCTTTTGCCCACGCTTCATCCGCCTAAAGTTTAGTTTGTCACAGATCGTCATAAAATATAGCCTATATGTTATTCTGGATTATAAACAATAATACTGTAAAGTTTCATCGAAATCCGTTCTGAAGTTTTTGCGTGAAAGTGTAACAAACATCCAGACATCCAAACTTTCGCATTTATAATATTAGTAGGATAGTACGACTTACTATTTCCCACAGTTTCACCCAAACGAATGTACCATATCGTTTTCGTTCGTTTCAGCCAAATGACGTCCACTGCTGGACAAAGGCCTCCCCCAAGGCTTTCCATAACGACCGGTCAAGCGCTGCCCGCATCCAGGTTCTTCCCGCGACCTTCACCAGATCGTCGGTCCACCTAGTAGGAGGCCTGCCCACACTACGTCTTCCGGCCCGTGGTTTTAAATGATATCAAAATCCGTCCAGTGCATTTTGCGTCATAGAATTTCCATACATTTATTCATCCATACTCACAAACTTTCTTTAATGGATGATCAATAGTCAATAGGCAGTAAGAACTTACTTTTAAGCGAATAATAGCTAGATTTCTCCTAGTCAACAATTTGAAAGTTTTACAATGTTTAATGTTTACTATGTGCTTTACCGGGACTCAAACTATCTCTATGCCAAATTTCATCAAAATCGTTTCAGTGGTTTAGGCGTGAAAGCAAGACAGACAGACAGAGTTACTTTCGCATTTATAATATTAGTAACTAGATGCGAAAAAATACCAATTTACAACTTAGACTGGCTAAGATCGACCTTGGTTTCAAGTTTGTCTGTTTTTAACGTTATTAGTATAATAACCGAATAGTCGTAGTCCTAGAGGCCATTTTATTTATCACTAGCAGCCGCCCGCGACTTCGTACGCGTGGACCCCGTTTTACCCTTAGGGGTGAAGTTTCGAGGTTTTTAGGGTTTACCCGGAAATTATTCAAACTTTTCTCGCTGTAAAAACCATCCTTGGACTTCAGCAAACATTTAAAAAAAAGAATTGGTAAAATTGGTCCAGGCGTTGTTAAGTTATGCGCTTACCAACACATTTTGCGATTCATTTTTATATTATAGAAGATTAGCTGATTCGGCGAACTCCGTACCACCTTGTTCAGCAGAAATAGATCAATACAAAAGAAAATGCCCACGATATTCGATTCTATTCTACTCTGTCGGAAATACACGGCTTAGTAAAAGTCATAAAAATTCATAAAACTCATTTATTTTTGCAAATAGGCTTTTAAAAGGCACTTTTACACGTCCCAGTATTAACCCTACCACTGCTTCGGGACAATAAACGGGGAATTGCTGAGAAGAAGCAGCGCGAGAAACTCAAGTCACTTTAATTATTAGTATACATTGTAACCGAAGGATCTAATTAAACCACTGTAAGAATTAACTATTAAAATTGACGTCCTGTAATTCAGAACCGGCAGGAACTGAACCGTCGGTGTATTTTCAAGTAGTTCGAAGGAAGTTGTTGAAATTAGTTGGGCAACGATTGATCGACAATAGCCAGGCATACTCGATATTCGATGTTTGGCCAATTTAAACGACTAACGGCAGCCCGCGACTTCGTACGCGTGGATCCCGTTTTACCCCTTCATCTATCTTACGCGGTTTAGATTTTTTCATACAAATGTTTTTTCCCGCTCACTCCCGTTCCCGTGGGAATTTTGCAATATCCTGTTGTAACTAAGCTTTAAGTTTACTAAGGTACCTGCATGCCAAATTTCAAGCGTCTAACTTAAGTGGTTTAGATTTTTCATACAAAAGGATTTTCCCGCTAATTCCTGTTCCCGTGGGAATTTCGGGAATTCCTTTCTTAGTGCACCTCTACGGTACCTAAGCTACGTCCCTTCCAAATTTCAAGTGCCTACGTTTATCCGTTTAGGCTGTGCGTTGATATGTCACTAAGGCAGTCAGTTTCTCCTTTTATATATTTAGATAGATAACCTTTCTCCTTTCTACAGAAAATATCTAGGAGCTAGAGTGCTTAGTCAAAGAAGCTATAAATTAATAGTTTAAAAAACTTAAAACACGCTTTTAATTACTGTAGGCCAATGATGTGACTCTGGTAAGTCAGAGAGGGTGAAAATCTGTTTTCAGTTTATATTAATTAACTTTTTTCATCTGCATGGTTCTGGAGTGGAGGCCGCGTACCGAAAAACGCAGCGTGAGACGTCCACCCACAAGGTGGACCGACGACATCGTAAAGGTCAGGAAGGCGCTGGACGCAGGCCGCTACCAACCGGGCAGCATGGAAAGCATTGGGGGAGGCCTATGTTCAGCAGTGGACGTCCTATAGCTGAGATGATGATGATGATGACTTTTTTCATTCAGCTTCTGTAAGCTATCTTCTTAAGGTCGTAGGTCCATCTTGTAGGGTCGTCCTTTATTCGAAAACTCGTTTCATTTACATAACTCTATCTTACGTCGGTTCTGCGACATAATAATGCCTCGTTTACGACAAAATTACCGACTATAGTTAGGTACTTAGCTCAGTCAGTGCCTGAGGTATGGGAGCGGCACGGAAGAGGTGACATTGTTTTCTGAATAAAACAAAATTAAAAATTTTAAAAAAATATTATGACGTGACAGAGCATGTAAATGGCAATGCTAGATTTTGTATGGAAGGTGGCGTCTTTTTTTTTCGCGCGGCGGTGGTAAACCAAACTTACTATGGCATGTATACCTCTAAACTGAGTTACGAGCATTAGAAGTTTGATGATTTTCATACTGGATTTGCTTTTTGCGCGCAATTTTTCTAAGAAATTGCAACAAAATATTGCGCTATTTTTTTATTGCGCTGATTCTGCTCCATACTGATGTCTGGAGCCTTTAATGGATGGTATTGTTTGTTTACACATACAATGTCACTATTTTGTTGCAATTTCTTACAAAACTTGCGCGCAAAAAGCAAATCTAGTATGTAAAATCATCAAACTTCTAATGCTCGTAACTCAGTTCAGACTGAGTTTAGAGGTACACATGTCATAGTAAGTTTGGTTTATTACACTATTTTGTAATCAAAAAACAAAGTTTGGTCGATGGCCGCGCGAAAACAAAATGACGCCAATTTCCGGCATTGTCTTTTGAAGGAGATCTGAAGTCTCGCTTACCTTTGACGTTACAAAAACACTCCTGCTCTCATACCCCAGGCACTGACTAAGTTAAAAGCTGACCTATAGTTTTATTCTGTGGTGACCTCTGGAGTATCTAAATATACAGGGTGGAATTTTGTAATGTCACCTGGAGGGAAAGTACTCTTATACTGTAGATAGAAAATTTTACTGAAAGAAAACATTCCTTTTTCACAGTTTATAACTTGATGTGATAAAATATTATATTTGTAATAATAACTTAAAGAAAAACTGGTTTATTCTCTAAAATTCCAATGTCAATGAAACCTAGAAGGCAAAAATTAACTTAAAAAATAAGGAAAACATTCCTTTATTTTTGAAAAGAAAAAGAACTGCATTCATAGATTTTCGAAAAATTTTCGAAAATTCCCTACCATACCATACAATTTTCTGCACATAATTAAAGTAATGTAAGATTTCATGGTTTTCCTTTCATTTGATTTATCAAGTTTGTTAGAGATATTTCATCCTTATACTTAACCCTAACGATCGATGCAATAAAAATACAGGGTGTAATTTTTAACAGATTTTAGTTGGTTCGATTCCCGGGTGTGGCAAGCAAATTTTTGGAAATCTTTGAATGCGGTTCTATTTCTTTTCAAAAATAAAGGAATGTTTTCTTTGAGAATTTTTTTCTATCTACAATATTAAGAGTACAAAATTCCACCCTGTATACAAACTCAAAGGTGACTGACTGACTGACTGACTGACATAGTGGGCTATCAACGCACAGCCCAAACCACTGGACGGATCGGGCTGAAATTTGGCATGCAAGTAGATGTTATGACGTAGGCATCCGCTAAGAAATTATTTTACGAAACTCCACCCCTAAGGGGGTAAAACGGGATTCACGCATACGAAGTCGCGGGCGGCCGCTAGTTCATAAATAAGAGTGGTACTTATTTAAAAGAGCTTTTATTGAATTTCGGTAAGCTTGTTTCTGTTATGCAACCGACTATAAGAAGGTCAAGACCGCATCAACAATTTATTGGTAAGACAGACACGTAATTTTTAATTATGTACCAGAAATTGAGTGTTTTTGCACATCCTTTCTGTGAAATTTTTAACCTACTTCAAAAAAGGAGGAGGTTTTATGTTCGACTGTATGTACTTATCTATCTTTTTTTTCTATGTTTCACCATAATTAAGTTCCCCGATTAGGTACTCCGTAAATTGTGGACCGATTTTCAAAATCCTTTTTAGTTTGATAGGGTACACAATACACACATACAAATAAATACAGGGTGTTACTTTGCATCCTTGAAATATTCACAGAGATAAAAGTAGGGAACAATACCTATTATTTTAGGTAAACAAGAAACTCCCGTAAAGAATGCACACTAAGTTTTTAGTAAATTTAGTTTTGCAGTACAAATTGAAATAAACCAATTTTGTCTCACATTTTCAACTGGCGCAATCGGAATAAACAGTGGGCGTCAGCTTTTTACAAAAGTGTCAAAAATAATTTTAAAAACTCCAATAGATATTTAAAAATAGAGAAGATTGTCGATAAAATAAAATACTCAAGTTTAAAAAACATAATTTTAGGACGTTGTTTTTTTACTGATTTGTGTTCAGTGTCATTCATATAGTTACCTCTGTAAATATGGCAAGAATGCAAAGTAACACCGTGTATGTTCATGCACACAATATTTGTACTGTGCGGGAATCGAACCCGCGCCCGCGACCTCTGGCATAGTAGTATCTATAGATATACAGTCGATAGAAAATCAGACTAAAATTTTACAATCAATTTACTGAAAATAATGAATTTTAAGTAAAGTTACGAGTACGCGTAGTTCGTGACTCTATGGCACACTGAAGACGAAAATTCAATTTAACTATACTAGTATTATAAAGCTAAAGAGTTTTTGTTTGTTTGGTTGAACGCGCTAATCGCAAATCTCAGGAACTACTTCTTTTTGTATTGGATAGCCCATTTATTGAGGAAGGCTTTAGGCTATGTAACATCACCCTACAGCCAATAGGGGCGGAGCAGTAAAGAAAAATGTTGCAAAAACGGGAAATATTATTCAAACTAATTTCACGCGTACGAAGTCCCGAGCACAGCTAGTCTTATAAATTATGCTCAAATGAAAAATCTTATCAAATGAAAAAAGTCTATTTGTTTGGACTATACGTGATTTTACAAATCAAAATTAAAATCAAATCAAAGTAAAATTTTGCACTTTAAGGCCTTTATACTTTACTAGCTGACCCGGCGAACTTTGTTCCGCCTTAATGGCAATAAATAAGCAGACTTTTTTTTTAATTTCGAACGGGATAAAAAGTATCCTATGTCCTTCTCCTGGCTCTAAACTACCTCCCTGACAAATTTCAGCTAAATCGGTTCAGCCGTTCTTGAGTTATAAGTGGTGTAACTAACACGACTTTCTTTTATATATAGATATTTTATGTCTTAAGATTAGGCCTTTACATTTTTTGCGCTGTTTCTTCTCAGCACTGGCCCATTTATTGTCCCGAAGCAGTGGTAGGGTTAATACTGGGACGTGTAAAAGTACTTTTTAAAAGCCTAAGTATTTGCAAAAATAAAAGTTTTATGAGTTTTATTAAAGGTAAACATTTTGCAAGAAGTAAAAGTTCCTGTAACGGGGAAATACCCGATTAAAGTTGAACAAAATAAAACTAAAGGATATAGGTAGCATATTTCGATAAAAACCTTGATAATTGGTTTCTCAATTTGAGTTGGTAATACGAGCATTGTTTGTCTTTGTTTTAAAAAACTTTACCATAAATATCATCATCTTTTGTTTTTAACCGACTTAAAAAAGGAGGAGGTTCTATGTTCGGCTGTAAAAACTAAACTGTTGGCTTGAAAAATCAGGAAAAATTCATAATAATACTGCTTTTCATGAACTTTCAAGGTACATCAGTTAGTTTAAGAGTTGTCATTTGACTCATAAAATTTCTTAACTAGTAAAAATTAGAAGAAAATATTAAAAGTGATTTTAGATGAAGTATTTGCTTGCTTCTGAAATATATTGTGTTAACGACGGACAACTACAGAACCCTACACTGCGCGTGGCACGACACGCACTTGGCAATTTTTGGCATTTTTTATATGTGCCACCAAATTTTTGGCATTTTTAGTGGTCAAAATTGAAAAAAATATTTTTGGTTTGATTTTGATTTTGATCCCTCACGCTGGCCAGACGGATTGGGGAGGCCTGATGTCCGCATATTATTTGGTCCCTAGTCACTTACGACATCCACGGGACGAGTGGAATGATCTGTATCCTACAGGGCATTTGGTGTAGTGGTTCAAAACGGACTACTATGCCGAGAGGTCCCAGGTTCGATTCCCGGCCGGCCAGAAATTGAAATGATGGATTTTAATTTCTGTGACGGGTCTGGATGTTTTCTATGTATATTATGTATGTAGTATTTACAAAAAAAATATTTAAGTATGTTTATATCCGTCGTCTAGTACCCATAGTACAAACTTTGCTTAGTTTGGGACTAGAGGCGCAGTGTAAAATGTCCAAGGATCATCATCATCATCCATCCTAAATTTTAATTACTGAAGCAGACATCAAAACATACACAGCACATAAGTATAGTAGATGATTATCATTATTAAATTAAAATAGCTAATTATTTTACTCATTATTAAATTAATAACGTCTTAAGTAAGTAAAACATACTTACCTAACGTTAAGAATTAAATAAAATAAAGTTCTTATAAAATTACACACTTCAATAATCTTTTTAACAGAATATAATATCGTGTTTTATAAATAAAATTGTTAAGTAATTACCTACCTAAAAATAAAAGAATGAACACTGCTAAAACGGACCTATAATAAGTTTTAACTTCAGGTATTACACGTACCTATTTTCAGGTAAGTAACTATATTAGTTACTTATTTTAAAATTAAACTCATTCATCATTTCAGCTAAAGGATGTTCTTAGATGGAAACCACTGGACGAATTTTGATGAAACTTTAGTTAAAGTATTTAGTTACTTAAATTATTATCAAGCACCACTAAAATTTTAATATTTGTAATAAATTCTAAACATATAAACGTAATTTTAAAAAATTAAAAAGTCTCACTCACCAGCTCCAAATTCGAATTTGGATCCTAAAAAAAACTAAAAAAAAAGGTTTGAATCGACTAAATCCTTTTTCACAACACCTCGCCGTTTGCGCGCGCGTCCCACTCTGATTGCGAGTGTATTTCGCAGCGCGAAATGCAGTAAAGGTCAGCAATGTCAGCCTCATGAAAAGTTCGATTCACGTATGAACTACAACGAACTGTCCCACTGACACTGACAGGGGGCGCCACCGTCAATGCCGGATCGCTGGTTCCGATTTTTGCCATGTTGGGAAAAAAAACTCATTTATTTCTACAAATAAAAAGCACTTTTACACGTCCCAGTACTAACCCTAAACTATACATAGTTGAACGATGGTGACGCCTCTCTGTCAATGAGTTTGGTGGGACAGTTCAGTGTAGATCATTTAAAGATGGGAATGACATATCAGTCGGTTGACACACTTTTCGAGCTGTCAAACTGCGACCAATCACCTGTACATTTTGTCAGAAAAAAACTGAATCATGTCTAGTCAGATAAAAATGTTTGGAATGTTAAGCTGCCCAGTTCGCATCAATATTTATAACTATGATTATTTTAAAGACTGTAAAGTTAAACCCTTGAAAAAGAGGCTGACAATAGTAACGAGTTTCTCGCGCTGCTTCTTCTCAGCACTGGCCCATTTATTGTCCCGAAGCAGTGGTAGGGTTAATACTGGGACGTGTTAAACCACATAGTTAAAATGTATTGACATATTTATGAGTCAATCCAACTGACTTTGATCACAGAATTATAATATTATTATCTTTTACAGACGACAGAAAATTATAACGTAAATTACACTTAATCGACAGGCTTTAAAATTGGTATCTTTTTCGCAGCACTGGCCCATTTATGGCCCCGAAGCAGTGGTAGGGTTAAAGTAAAATACTGCGACAACTAACAGCTTTGTATCCCGACTGCGCCAGAAGGAGGGTTATATTTTAAAAGTCTGTCGGCGCCGGACACAGATGCTGCAAATTATTATTGATGATTAACAGTACCAATCTTAATATTATGTTATCTGTAGAAATCTGTAGAGCAGAAGGTTTGTGATTCCTAAACGTAACACCCGACTGATGCGCAGAAAAAGATAACTGTCAATCAGTTGTGTCATGTCAAGTGTGAGCAGGCGGCTGCGAGGTTATAGATGACCCAAGCTGAACTGTCCCACCAAACTCAATGACAGGGTGGCGCTACCATCGTTCAACTATATGGTTTCCAACATGGCAAAAATCGGAACCAGCGATCCGGTATTGACGGTGGCGCCCCACTGTCAATGTCATGCATAGGACAGTTCAGTATTTTGGAACTATATCTTTGAAAGCGTGTTGAGTTTGGTGGAACGTTAAATTGTAGGAAAAGTGATTGTCAACCATCCAAGGTATTATCTCCTTGCCCGTTAACCCACGCCAATGGAGATTCCACCCCTAGAGTTCCTTCTGATAGAGACCCAGTGCCTTTAAGTCTATATTTGCTGAAAAATGACTTTTGACTTTTAGCGCTCTATTTCTTCTTCTTTGCGTGTCGATAGCAAACCTACACAGTGTCAGCCCAAAACTCCGCCACAAGAGTGGCGTTGTCAGTAATAGCACTCATTATATCCTCCTGAGTGCAGTTGCTTGGGCACTCAGGGCACGACATCAGGTGCTTCATCGACTGGGGAACAAAACCGCACCTGCACTCCATGTTTAAGTTTAAGCCATCCAACTGATCCAGCTTCCAAGAATCCCCACCTGACCAGATTGTCCTTACTACGGCCAACCTGCGTCCGAAGTCTATTTAAAGAAGCGCTCTATTATTCAAAGGTGATAGGTTCTAGTCCCAGTAGAGTGAATTTATTCCTGAAAATATCACGCTATCGTACTTAGTACCCAATTATACTAACGCGTAACGCGGTTCCGCTCGAATTCTCCTGTAATATGTATTTTACACAACATCAACTGGCATGCTATCTATTACGTATTTTAAACTTGAATTTGATACTGTACAAAACCAGTGAGTGTAAGTTTACGTCAAAAATCCTCACTAAGGGCTATATTTCACCGGGACACCATGGCGGCGCAACCAGTCGCCGCTACCAACAAAATGTATACAGCTCTATACAGGGTGTTAGGTAAATGGGTATATGAGCCGACACTAGCCCATGTTAACATGGGCATATAAATGGTATGATGAAGTCAGGAAATTGATATCTTCATTTTAATTATTTTAATTTTCATACAAATCGGATTTTATAAAATTTATTTTGTATGAAAATAAAAAAAATGAAATGATATCAAATTTCTGACTTCACCATAGCATTTATATACCGACTAGCTTTCCGCCCGCGGCTTCGCCCGCTTGGAATTTTGTCTGTCACAGAAAAACTTTATCGCGCGCGTCCCTGTTTCAAAAACCGGGATTAAAACTATCCTATGTTCTTTCCCGGGACTCAAACTATCTCTATGCCAAATTTCATCAAAATCGGTTGCGAGGTTTAAGCGGGAAAGCGTAACAGACAGACAGACAGACAGAGTTACTTTCGCATTTATAATATTAGTTGGGATTGGGATGTTAACATGGGCTAGTGTCGGCTCATATACCCATTTACCTAACACCCTGTAGATTAGAGAGTTACTCACCTGGTGTCCGTTTGGTTGCGCAAAGCTGCATACATTTTGTTGGTAGCGGCGACTGGTTGCGCCGCCATGGTATCCCGGTGAAATATAGCCCTAAGGGTGAGTTGCACCACCTAACTTTGACCGTAACTTTAACGATAACCGGTGGTTTTTGTATGGAATTTGACAGATTTTTGACGATTGTCAAAGTTAAAGTAAGATGGTGCAACCCAGCCTAAGTAGCGAGTGCGTTAAAAAATGTATGAAAATTTTAGTTAATATTCATTTATTTTTGCAAATAGGCTTTTAAGAAGCACTTTTACACGTCCCAATATTAACCCTACCACTGCTTCGGGACAATAAATGGGCCAGTGCTGAAGTGCAGTGTTCTTAAAAGTTTCCGCTAGGGGCGCTGTACAATCCGTCATAGATTTACACCCGTATTCACAAATATTACTATGATCTCTCACATTGCGCGTGAACGCACAGGGTGACACACGAACCTATAATAGAGCTCTATTCAACGCTGTGCGTTCGATTTGCTGCTTCACTTAAGCAAGCATCGTTTATCAATACGGGCGTGAAAGTCATTTTTTTTGTTTGGACGTTTGATGTAAACTCACGCTCGTATTTACAAGCGATGCTTGCTTAAGAGAAGCAGCAAATCGCACGCACAGCGTTGAATAGAGCTCTGTGATTGGTTCGTATCACCCTGTGCGTCCACGCGCACTGTGAGACCTCATAGTAATGTTTGTGAATTCGGGCGTCATAGTCACCTCTCTGTACTGTTGACTAGCTTTCGCCCGCGGTTTCAGCTATATAGATCGTTTCATCCACGAAGACGCGCCCCACCATTCTTCCGCTAATGTTTGAGTGTTATCGGTACACGCTAAATGATCCATGAGTGCACACGCACACTACAATAATGACGCTCGGATTGCTCGGATCAAACTCCCCGCACCCCGCGCGACCGAGACCAAACATTGGTGGGGCGCGTCCGAGTGGATGAAACGATCTACATAAAGGTTCTCCTTCATCATCATCATTTCAGCCACAGGACGTCCACTGCTGAACATAGGCCCTCAATATTCTAGATTGGCCGGTTAGAAGAGTTTCTGGTACCTTTATGACAACTTCGTGCTTCAAACTCCTATGTTCTTCTGATGAATTTCGTTGCGGGTCCAATGACAGTTAACGTTCCCCCGGGACAAACTTGGTTCACTGGTTGGGTTATTGGCGGTCAAGCTGTAGATCCTGGCTACACAGGAGTTGCAGTGGGAACGAGAGGTGGGAATAGTCCTGAACTTTTATGACGTCACCTGCCACAAGGTGGATAGACTATCTTCTTCATGAGATGATCTGTTACTTTGGCAGCTAAAATTTTGTAAAGGTGGTGTCACCATTAACTCTTATCATTGTTCAATGATTAGTTAGAACTTAGAATAATAATAGGTATGTAGGTAGGTACCATGTCTTAGACATTTTTTTAATTAAAGTCCCGTTACCCCTCGTGGTAATTAGTACCCTTGTGTTACGAGTGGGTTCACCACAATAGTCCAGCGGCGGGGATCGAACCCGCGTTCCCCGGATCACGAGTCGGCCAGTCCGACCCCTTCACCGTTCGGCTATCGTGGCAATTAACCTATAATATTTTTTGTTGTTTGTTTTTTGTTGCTTGTGTTACGAGTGGGCCGGGGTTCGAACCCGCGTTCCTCGGATTTTACACCTACGCTGTTAAAAACATCCTGCCTTTTCAAGTCTTCTAGTCTTTTGACCCTCTAAACTCTAAATTGAGTCTCTAACCGTCAGAAAGGAAGCACATCGCCCGGAGAGCTACCCTCGGAGATGACATCACCCCACCGTGTACCTCGTCAGCGCAACCACGACCACTCTGACAAGAGTGTAGTATGAAGTGTTAAATAGTTAGTGACACCCAAAGTGGCCACAAACTTGACAACAGAACCTATTCCAAGTAACAAAGATGTTGCGAACTTTTTGGCTACTTTGGGTGTCACGAACTATTTGACTGTACCATCCTAGACTGCATCTTACCTTATCTGGTGTGATTTCAGTCAGGCTTTTGTGCTGCATAAAATAGTATTCATCATCATCATTTCAGCCACAGGACGTCCACTACTGAACATAGGCCTCCCCCAATGTTTTCCATGTTGATAGATTGGTAGCGGCCTGCGTCCAGCGCTTCCCCGCTAACTTTATGATGTCGTCGGTCCACCTTGTATCAGTTAAAGTGAAACATATTAAAAACGAAAGGTCACTGACAGTCACTCATCTCGAAATCTCAAGTGCTAGCGCCCGTATTCACAAACGAAGCTTGCTTATGTGAAGCAGCAAATCGAACGCACAGTGTTGAATAGAGCTCTGTGATTGGTTCGTGTGTCACCCTGTGCGTCCACGCGCACTGTGAGACCTAATAGTAATGTTTGTGAATACGGGAGTAATGTTAATTTTGAAGTGACCCCTATGTAAACAAAATTCCTGTTATTTGTTACCATACGGGTCACTTAAAAATTAGGGATTGATGGTGAAAACAGGCATAAGAGTCTTAAATTTTGCATGGGGTTCTTTTTAGAACGTAGGTGCTCACTAAGACGGGATTTTGCAAAATTCAACCCCTAAGGGGGTAAAACGGGATCCACGTGTACAAAGTCGCGGGCGGCCGCTTGTCGTTGATATTTTTAAACAAATTAATTTATTTCTCATTAGCTACCCAAATGATAATTGACCTTATCGTATAATGAAAGTAAAGTCAGTTCAGAAATAATACGATATCCCGTTTATTCATACAACAATACAAAACAATTCGATTTACGCAGTCATCGCTCGCATACATTAAATTTATTTTATACAATACAGGGTGTCGATTTTGAAAAGTACCGTTATTCTTAAAAAAATAAGTTTTAATTTTCCTCCTTTACCTAAAAGGTTACACGCGTATTGAATACTAATTTTAATAAAGATTTTATTCTTTATTATTATTAAATTACTGTCTTAAAACACTTCTTTCATTCACATTCAATCACATTATTTTCTATTCTATTAGGTGCGTCAATTATTTTTATTTATTCCAATTATTAAGCCTACTTATCTTATTTTATTTACATATAAAATATTTAATACAATTTGTAGAGCATTGAAAATATTAATTAGTCAAGAAGAAAAATAGTGAAAAAAACAAAAACAACAGAGTATTAGGATTTAGGACTTCTTCAGGGCAGTACGCCCGTTTTCACCATCAAACCCTAATTTTTATGTGAAAACTTCATTTTATGTTTTAAAATTTTATGTTTTGTTTTCATATGGATCATTTAAAAATTAGGGATTGATGGTGAAAACGGGTATTAAACAAATACACGCCCCAAATAGAGCCTGCTCCACCACTTTTAAGAATATTGGTAGGCTAGGCCTTCTTTTGAATTATAGAATGACTAGATAAATTATAAACATAGATAAATGTAACTAAATAAAATAACTTAATTTAAACGACAAATACGAAATCTTACTAAAAAAAATATAATTAACATAATGATTTAAAACACCCTGTATAATACATTACTCATCAGTTTCGTTTACAAGGAATTAATTTTGGTAAGTGATAACATGTTTGGCAAATAAATGAAGTTGCATTTTTTTATTTAAATGTTGGCATTTATCATCATCGGTCATTTTTGTTCCCCAGTCGATTAAGCACCTGATGTCGTGCCCTGAGTGCCCAAGCAACTGCACTCAGGAGGATTTGATGAGTGCTGCTGACAACGCCACCCTTGTGGCGGAGTTTTGGGCTGACACTGTGTAGGTTTGTTGTCGACACGAAATGAAGAAGATCATCGGTCATTTTAGTCTCCACTGCAGGAGCACGACCGTCTAATTTACCAGCAAATGGAGGATTTGGTCTACACTCCCCACGCTGGCCAGGCGGTTTGGGGAGCCTTATATTTTTTCTTTGTTCTTTATAAATTTTAATCTAAACATAAACATAGCAGATTGATGTAATGCAAAAGGTATTTTAATTTGAAATTAATATTATTATTTGCGTTTAATAGGCTATAATAGATATTACACAAAAAAGGAAATAGGTAATGTATATTATTACAGAACATCAGTATATAAATAAATTGATCAATTGCATTAAATGACTTGAATCCTATTATTTGGAAAGGAAAGTTCATAGACAAACATTTAGGTAATCGAAATTGGCCTAAAAATAATTAAAACAATCACAGAAGTATTATTGTTTCACAATAACAGTGAAAGTCGTCAAAATATAAAATAAAAAATTCAAAAACGGCGCCATTTTAATTTTCTTTCTCCTTCTTTTGTTTATGGCCAGTATAAAATAGAGTCTCCACAGACTACAGCCTTATTTTCGGTCGATAGTTTAGTCGGGCTGTTCATCAGTATGAACAAGTATGGAAGTCCGCACATTACACCGATTTGGTATCGGCCATTTCTTCATACAAATTATAAGCCAAACTATCGGCCGATAAAAATCTACGGTCTGTGAGGACTCTTAAACCGGGTTTATAACGCGTGTTTTGCTTGACACAATCAACAAAATCATTGTCAACATTCAACATTTTTTTAGGTTGAATGTTGACATTTTTTGTTGATTGTGTATAACAAAACACGCGCTGAAGACCAGGCTTTATAGAATCGTTTCATCCACGAAGACGCGCCCCACAATTTTTGGTCTCGGTCGCGCGAGGTGCGGGGAGTTTGAACCGAGTAATCCGAGCGTCATTATTGTAGTGTGAGTGTGCACTCATAGATGATTTAGCGTGTACCGATAACACTCAAACATTAGCGGAAGAATGGGCGGGTCTTCGTGGATGAAACGAACTATACGGAACTACTTATTAGTAATCTGTGCTTATGGTCCACAGAGTAAGCCTAAGCACTCAATATTTCGCTAAAGTCACGTTATTTATACTTTCATTTCAAATTGACACCCTGTATACTACACTTAGACTACAATGAACTTAATTGAGCACAGCTAAAAGTACTTTCAGGTACGAGAATACGAAATACGCGATGATGGAATAAATAAATATCTTCGTGAACGTGTCCAAGTAGTATAATCTGGAAGGAAAATAAAGATAATTAGGAAAATTGTTGAAAACAACCTTATTTCTTTTATACTCATTACATCGTTCGTTCGTTTCAGCCAAATGACGTCCACTGCTGGACAAAGACCTGCCCCAAGAATTTCCGCAACAACCGGTCCTGCACTGCCCGCATCCAGGTTCTTCCAGCGATCTTCACCAGATCGTCGGTCCTCCTAGTGGGGGGCTGGCCACGCTAATTTTAGCTAATTTCTTTTTCTTACTCTTTACATTCAGCGTCCAATAGTCCGTGACACCAAAGTGGCCAAGAAGTTGACAACACAAGTTAACACAACCTTATTCCAATTGTAACAAAGACGTGTTGCGAACTTTTTGGCCACTTTGGGTGTCACGAGTTATTTAACGCTGACTGTACAACAACTTTATCGTATAAAGCGCCATCTATGAGTCTGTTACGTACGCTATGTACTTTTGTATTGCAAATAGCACTTAAACTTATGTTTGTGAGTAAAATTCATAGATGGCGCTATCTTCAAATTAGTTAATGACGGGATAATTTACTTAACGCTATATTTGAGTCTTTTAGATCTAAGGAAGAATGGGAGTCTGTTTTGGAATAATGAAAATGTTGTAAAGTAAAGTGTGGAAAAAAGTATGGGAGTGTAGAGTATGGAAGTCCATATTAGGGTGTGGAAGGGTGTAATGCACTAGGGTGTTCCTAAATGTGCAGTGCAGTAATGTGGAAGTATGGTAATGCACAACTGAACAAGTGTGCAAGTACTTAAGCAGTGTGCAAGTTTTGAAGTGTGCAAGTGTGTAGTTTCCACGTATAGAAATTCAAATTTCAATAATTTAGAAGTGGGTACTTACTGTCTGTTGAGCCTCCTGGCTTGGGGGAGGGTGGAGGGGTCTTCCTTCATCACGAACTCCCGCGCGCCTTTGATGTAGTCGCGGATGTACGTGTTCCAGTCTATGACCTGAAAGTATATCACAGTAATGAACGGGATTATTCCCACCTCTCTTTCCCACCACTGCAACTCCTGTGTAGCCAGGATCTACAGCTTGACCGCCAATAAAAACCAACCAGTGAAGGTCAAGTTTGTCCCGTGAACTGTCATTGGACCCGCAACGAAATTAATCAGAAGAACATAAGTTCGAAGTTAAGGTTTGACTTCCCTCCGTTGCAAAGCGGATGACTAAGTGACAAACAAAATTAACAGTTATGAAGATGTGATTTTAATTAAGGAAATTATGTGCCAATAGTGGCTGAGTCGCGCCGCTTCTTCTCAGCACTGGCCCATTTATTGTCCCGAATCAGTGGTAGGGTTAATACTGGGACGTGTAAATGTGCTTTTTAAAAGCCTACTTGCAAAAATAACATTTAATGAGTTTTGTGCCAATCACTTGTCAGTGATGCTGAGTATCAAGTGCAATAATTACCCATTAATGTATTAACTCCAAAATAAATTCATAAAGTTCATTCATTTTCTCTAAGTTGTCTTTAATTTGAAGAGCACCTTCATTAGTTTCAATTATTTTTAGCATTAACCTTACCACCGCTTCAGAACAATAATGTGAGCGAGTGCTGAGAAGAAGCAAAGTGACCGAGCAAACTATCTACTAATTGGTTTAAGTTTGTGATACTAGATGGCGTTGTAATTACATTTTGTAAGTAAACCATGGTGTCTGGATTTGTACCATCGACATTATTCTCTCTACTCGTACAGTCAGCGAAATAGTTCATGACAGCCACAGTGGCCAAAAAGTTGACAACACAACCTTATTCCAATTGTAACAGAGGTCAGAAACGTATGCGAACTTATTGGCTACTTTGGGTGTCACGAACTATTTGACGCTGACTGTACACAATTCTATATATCGAAAAAATAAAATGCCAATATTTCATTAAAGATCATAATCGAGAAATGTTCAAACGCTCACAGTGAGATCAGTGTAGAAGGTCTCATCGTCTTCCTCAGTCACTTTGGTCCGGAGTGCTCGCAGGTTGTCGTTCCGGAAGTGCCACTCCTTGGTGGTATAGTACTGCAGGACTTCCAGACCAGACTGGATGCGTTTCTGCATCTTCACCATGCTGTGGAGAAGGTGGATATCTTGAAAATTATAAATAATTTGAAAAAATCGAACTGCCTTGGCGGGAATCGAACGAAAGTCGCTGACATAGCCCGACGGATTATCAAGCTGAAGTGGCAATGAGTGGCACAGTACGCAGAACTGACGGCCGATTGGGCAGCAAGGTTCTGGAATGGGGGCCGCGTACCGGAAAACGCAGCGTGCGACGTCCACCTACAAGGTGGACCGACGACATCGTAAAGGTAACGGGGAAGTGCTGGACGCAGGTCGCTACCAATCGATCAACATGGAAAGCATTGGGGGAGGCCTATGTTCATCAGTGGACGTATAGGACGTCCACTGCTGAATTAATAATGATGATGATGATGACACTAGAAGAACTAGTTTATACTCACAAGGGTTTCTGCTGTAACGCTCGTGCCAACAGATCCACGGTATACGCAGGAAGCGTATGAGTCAAGAACAGCGTCACCTGGTGTCGGAGGCGGGAAGCGCTGGGAGCCCCGCCCGGGTACCACAGGCAGATTGAGAAGGGGTACTCCATGACGTGGATGCGGCCTGGGAAAATGAGAATGAGGGTATAAGAATGTTTAGAATACACAAATAGGGTACTGGACGGCTAGCACAAAAAACTTTCGAGTTCAAATCGTTTGCGTACTCGAATCGCCATCAAAATATTTAGTAAGAAAACTACAATAGCGTCCTTGTGGACGTGTCGTAAAGTGAACTTAGTATGAAATGGAGTTGCACGAAACTTATTTTGAGAATCAAAATTGTCACGTTATCGTTTAATTCGAAGATTGAGTATCGAATTTTATCGAATACGCAAACGATTCGATGAACAAAGTTGTTCATGCTAGAGGTACTGGACTATTCAATTTCGTTCTCACTTCTGCAACTCCTGCGTAGCCAAGATCTAGTCCTGGGAAAATCTAAATCTAAATTATAAACCACTGGACGGATCGGGCTGAAAGGCATGCAGATAGATGTTATGACGTAGGTATCCGCTAAGAAAGGATTTTACGAAACTCCACCCCTAAGGGGATAAAACGAGATCTACGTGTATGAAGTCGCGGGCGGCCGGTAGTAATAAATAGTAGGTATTACCACTACTAAAAGTAAAGATTCATTTTTATAATGACTTTTCTTACCTAACGCCAAAGCTTCTCCCCATGTGAATCCGTTAATCCCGGACTGGGCTATGTTACAGAACTGTACTTCTTTGGGCCTGGAAATGAAATAAATGTATTTTTATTTGACAGTTAAGTATATTTTTTTCTGTTTCATGTCTGACTAGTCAGCTGGTTTGTACATGATCCAAAGGTCGCTGGTTTGGCTCGAAGGACCAAGATGTAGGAGTCTCAGCCGGGAAACGACGAAATGAGAATAGTAGACTGTATTACAAGGTTTTACTTTAACAATCCACTTTAAAACAGATTTTAGAACTGGTTGGTATACTCTGGTAGGTTGGAGTGGAGGCCACGTACCGGAGAACGCAGCATGCGACGTGGGACCGACGACCTCATAAAGGTGAAAGCAGAAAGGCGCTGGATGCAGGCCGCTACCAACCGGGCGATGTGGAAGTCATTGGGGAGGCCTATGTTCAGAAGTGGACATCTTGTGGCTGAATTTCTTTTTTGAAAAAGATTATTAGTAATTTGTTATTTCACAAATTACTAATACTCCCGTCAGCCCCTCGTACTAAGCTAAATATGCTTGTGTCACGAGTGAGCTCACCACAATAGTCGAGCGGCGGCGGGGACCGAACCCGCGTTCCCCATCACGAGTCGGCCAGTCCGACCCCTTCACCGTTCGGCTACCGTGGTTTGATGATGATGATGGTATACTCACTTCTCCAGAGCCGTGGTGTAGCCGAGCAGTATGCAAGCGTTGACCACCATGTCTACAGGCACTATGTCCGCCGCATAGTTCTCGTTGCAGTGCATCGTGCGGATCACACCTAGAAACAATAGTATTTCATTATCATCATCATTTAGTCTCCACTGCAGGAGCACAACGGTTTCTAATATTCAGAGAAATCACATTATTTTACAACCCGTGTGCTTACCATGACTGTACCTCTAGTAGGAAAAACTTTCGAGTTCGTTTCGTTGCGTATTCAATATATTATATGTCGCAGGCAAATTGTATGATTCCGCATTTTACAAACGGCGTCGTCAGTTTACAAACGCTCGCTGTTCTATGAAATGCCGAAGGCAAATTGGCGACTCGTTCAATTGATAAAATTTCGACTATGATTGTTGCAATAGGGTGACCATCATAAAACACATGTTGGACAAATCAGACTTAATTTCAGAAATCAGGTAGGTATCTATTCAGGTAAGACAAACCTAAGATACTTGCTACTCCTAAAGTAATTAAAATATTTTCGTAATAAAAACAACACTAAACTAATTTAAACTATTGACGTACGTACCTATAGGTAAAACTATGACATAATTGTCACCTTAGCGTTTTTTACGTGCCGGATAACCTCAAAAACTATTTCATTTTTCCATAGCTTTTTCACTGCTCCTATTTATGAATCGTAAAATATTTTTAATTCACTAAGTATAATCAATGTCTTTTTATGTGAAAAGTCCTTTGAATACGTAGAATTTGCACTGTTTTCTGTATCACAACACCACGACTCGACGCCATTTTTCTTGTTTTGATTAGCAGCGCCTCGCGTGGTAAGAAAAAGAACTAAATATTTCAATTTGCCGCGGCATTTTGTAAACAGCAATTGAATTGGCTATCAAATGTTTTGGCATATTATAAAGTGCCCAGGCAATTTACATTTTGCCTTCGGCATTTCATAGAGCAGCGAGCGTTTGTGAACTGACGACGCCGTTTGTAAAATGCGGAATCATACAATTTGCCTGCGACATAAATACTATATTATAGCTGTTTAATTTTTCATACAAAATTTTTCGATGACACTTTGAATACGCAACGAAACGAATTCGAAAGTTTTTCGTACTAGAGGTACTGTTTACGTTAGTTGTGCTCGCTAGCGAATACGTCAAAAAAATCTATGAAGATTTTATTTCTTGAAAGTAGCCGCTAGAGGCGCTGCTCAATATGTCATACATTTAATGTCATTTTTTTACGCAGTCGCTAGCGAGCACACCAAACGTAAACTCATGGTAAGCACACCGGTCATTTGACCGGGTTAAATAGCATAGTTAATTTTAACTGTGCACCTGGCTGCCGTGACGTCATATGGCCGTTCTGGTACGGGGGGCGAACCGGGGAGAAGAGTGTGGACGAGTGTGAAGGAGAGTCGCATTCCAGCCAGGTGTACAGTTAAGTTGACCGGGTTTATTCAATCTATCGTTATATTAGAGTCTGGTCCGTGAGCACGTAGAATTTTGTCCNCGTAAAATATTTTTAATTCACTAAGTATAATCAATGTCTTTTTATGTGAAAAGTCCTTTGAATACGTAGAATTTGCACTGTTTTCTGTATCACAACACCACGACTCGACGCCATTTTTCTTGTTTTGATTAGCAGCGCCTCGCGTGGTAAGAAAAAGAACTAAATATTTCAATTTGCCGCGGCATTTTGTAAACAGCAATTGAATTGGCTATCAAATGTTTTGGCATATTATAAAGTGCCCAGGCAATTTACATTTTGCCTTCGGCATTTCATAGAGCAGCGAGCGTTTGTGAACTGACGACGCCGTTTGTAAAATGCGGAATCATACAATTTGCCTGCGACATAAATACTATATTATAGCTGTTTAATTTTTCATACAAAATTTTTCGATGACACTTTGAATACGCAACGAAACGAATTCGAAAGTTTTTCGTACTAGAGGTACTGTTTACGTTAGTTGTGCTCGCTAGCGAATACGTCAAAAAAATCTATGAAGATTTTATTTCTTGAAAGTAGCCGCTAGAGGCGCTGCTCAATATGTCATACATTTAATGTCATTTTTTTACGCAGTCGCTAGCGAGCACACCAAACGTAAACTCATGGTAAGCACACCGGTCATTTGACCGGGTTAAATAGCATAGTTAATTTTAACTGTGCACCTGGCTGCCGTGACGTCATATGGCCGTTCTGGTACGGGGGGCGAACCGGGGAGAAGAGTGTGGACGAGTGTGAAGGAGAGTCGCATTCCAGCCAGGTGTACAGTTAAGTTGACCGGGTTTATTCAATCTATCGTTATATTAGAGTCTGGTCCGTGAGCACGTAGAATTTTGTCCAATCAATCATTCGATTGCACAAACCGGTTTTGCGGGCGTCGAGACACTCTTTACGAATATTACACATTAACACAATATTACTTTACCATTACTACACACACACCTATACAAACAGTTTTATCTTTTTATTAGTATTCTTTTCATTAGTATTCTTAATAAACGTAGTCTTATCATCCTTACCGATTTACCGCCTTTTGTATTTATCTGTGCACTAATATTACTATTTATGTATGTTTATCTAGACAATTTTATGCAGCTTAGTATTTTATTTATTTTACCAATGGTCCGTGACCCTCACTCGGCATGGGGCACACTGAAAACCAGCGCCGTGGCCTTCGTCACCGTGGGCCACGGCATATGCTGAGTGGGGTCCCGTTGCAGTGGGCATCTTGTTGGTGGATGGGTGGCACTGCTCAGTTTACTCTTGTTTTTATTTTTTCTTCTTCCATCATTATGTGCCACTGTCATGTCTATGTAATTGCCTGTATTTGTGTGATGTCCATTGTAATAAATGTGTCTTTCTTTCTTTCTTTCAATGACCCCTAGCTACCTACCCTTAGGGGTCATCCATAAAGTACGTCACACGTAAAGAGGGGGGGAGGGGGTTGACAAAGTGTGACATGGTGTGACAAGGGGTGGGAGGGGTCCTAAGTTTCGTGACATCACATTTCAATTGTTTTAAATATTTGATATAATGGTGATTTCATAAAAAAATGTACTTAATTTAAATGGAAATAAAACTAATTTCGGAACTGCTGTTAATTTAATAATTTTTCGATGTGAAATTGCAAAATATGTGACGTCACACTAGAGAGGGGGGTGTCTCAGAAACGTGACCACCTGTGACAAGGACGGAGGGGGGGTCAAAAAATCATGAAATTCGTGTGACGTACTTTATGGATGGCCCCTTATCGCTCGCGCGTAATTATATTGCTGTCGCGACTGTGCGACTGGCACCGGCAGTGAGTGTGCGAGCGCGATAGCAACATAATTACGCGCGAACGATACGGATGGGTAGCTTGGGGTCATTGGACAAAATTCTACGTGTTCACGGACCGGGCTTTAGTTAGATAACTATGTCATATCCTATACTCAGATCCCATCTCGTCTGGAATAGCTCTATTAGACTGGAGTGTACCTTCCGAATCGAGGAACTTTATTTCATTCTCGAATAATGGAGTTAGCAATATACTAACCAGGTGATATTATAACTACAATGTATTGTCCCGTCTGAGAATCGAACCCAGAACCCGGAGTCAAGTGAGTCTCTCTCAAAATAAAGATTACCTTTTCCAGCACCAACGAGCAGACCCGTGGGCCCATTGAGGTTGTCCACCCATCCAGGCATAGGCTCTTTGTATGCTGCAGTTACTGTAAATAAAACAAAATAATTTAAAGTGGAATATTTAATTTTAACAGAAAATTAGTACCTTTAATTGACCCACAGGTGTCGCTTTGTTTAGTTTTACTACTCATTAAGAGATGGCACTAGTAGTGCTGCTTTTCTTTAAAATTGGTAGTAGCACTTAATCCCAGTTTTTAATCATAGATGGCGCTATAACAACAAAATTAGGTAGTAATTCTATTCGCCATTAGATGTCACTAACCAACAAAGTTAGTGTATCTACTCACTGATAGATGGCGTTAATTCAGATTTTTTTTTTACTTTTTTGCAGTGATAATTTTTAAAATAAGTAATGGTACTTACCGATAGAGGGCCTTGCAATAACGATGGGGAATTTTCCTGCGTGTTGCGCAACAAGGTCCTCAGTCAAAGATTTTGTGTAAGCGTATGTATTTGGTTGTGGTTCGATTATTCTGCAAAATTAAAACAACATAAATTAACAGCGGACGGCATTAGTAGAATTTACCCATAAGATTTCTCTCATCAAAAGGTGTGCTATAAAATAGCAATTCGTCAGTTTCATAAAGAGAACTTTTGATTATTTCACCTAGATGGCCTAGAGCAAACCATAAAAAATATTTTCACTTCTATCACAGAATAAGTTCTATTAATGAACATTCAGCGTCAAATAGTTCGTGACACCCAAAGTAGCCAAAAAGCTTGCATCACGTCTTTGTTACAATGAAATAAGGTTGTGTTGTCAACTTATTGTCCACTTTGGGTGTCACGAACTTATTTGAGGCTGTACCCAAAATACTTGACGCCCCAATTACTTATTGCTAAACAGCTAATCGGAAGCTCAAATACATACTTAGGCTGCAAATGGGTTAACAGCTCGTCATCCATCCAGTTGACTGTCTCTATGACGTGTTTTGGTCTATGCTTGGCGGGGTACAGTCTTTCTTCTAATACTTCTACCTCGCAGCGGCAGTACGCTGTTGAGACGTGGACGAACACCTGAAAAAGCAAACACAGTTGAGTAAACTCCTGAGAAAAGGGTAGAATTTATTTAGATAGAGAGAGAACGATATTATAGCCATTATAAGCTACCCTTTGTCATCAATTATTGATCTTAAAGAGACTGTTTCCACCTCTCGTCCCCACCGCTGCACCTCCTGTGTAACCAGAATCTACAGCTTGACCGCCAATAACCCAACCAGTGAAGGTCAAGTTTGTCCCGGGGGAAAGTCAAACTATAATTGGACCCGCAAAGAAACTAATCGGAAGAACATAGGAAAAGTTCGAAGTTAAGATTCGACTTCCCCCTGTGCGAAACGGAAACAACAACTTTAAAGGGAGTTAGAATTTTATGAAATTGTCAACAATTTTTTACATTTTCAAAAGCCATTTCACAGAGCCCAGTATATTTTTACCCCAACACTTTTGATCGCGAAGGTAGATATGTACAGCGCGGTAACAACTTTAAGTATATCAAAAGAGCTTTTTATAAGCCCACTTACAAAATAAAAGAATTTGAATTTGATTTGGAGTTTTTTTTTATGTAAGACAAGGCAAGGTATCAGATCAGGTAGGACCGCAATCGCACCTGGTGTTAGGTGAGATGCAGTCTAGGATGGTACATATCTGCCCTGTACGGCTAGCACGAAAAACTTTCGAGTTCGAATCGTTTGCGTATTCGCATCGCCATCAAAAGATTTAGTACGAAAACTACAACAGCGCCCTTGTGAACGTGTTGTAAAGTGAACTTAGTATAAGAAATGGTTGCACGAAACTTATTTTGAGAATCAAAATTGTCACGTTATCGTTTAATTTGAAGGTTGACTATCGAATTTTGTCGAATACGCAAACGATTCGAAGACGAAAGTTGTTCATGCTAGAGGTACTGCAAGTGCCTATTCACTATTAACAGCATCAATAGCTCTTTGAATTACCTCAATCTGCTTCATGCCGCTGGCCAGTTCCAGCACCCGTTTGGTGCCGACTGTGTTCATGTTAACGGCATCCCTGATGAACATGTCGAATCTGTAATAGAAAAAAATATACAGGGTGGAATTTTGTAATGCCACCTGAAGGGAAAGTACCCTTAATACTGTAAATAGAAAATGTTACATACAAAGAAAACATTCCTTCATTTTTGAAAAGAAAAAGAACTGCATTCAAAGATTTCCGAAAATATTTCGAAAATTCACCACCATAGCTTAACATTTTCCGCAAATAATTAAAATAATTTAAGATTTCATGGTTTTCCTTTCATTTAATTTATTAAGTTTGTAAGAGATATTTCATCCTTATACTTAACCCTAACGATAGATGCAATAAAAATAAAGGGTGTATTTTTTAACAGATTTTAGTTGGTTCGATTCCCAGGTGTGGCAAGCAAATTTTTGGAAATCTTTGAATGCAGTTTTATTTCTTTTCAAAAATAAAGGAATGTTTTCTTTGAGTAAAATTTTCTATCTACATCTTCATAGAAACGCGGCGAGCGCGGTTGTGCGGTGCGTTTTTATGAAGATGACCTACTCATTTGTATTTACTCTGATACATATTTGACACTAAGCTAAAATTTGCAGCTTATAGGCTAAATACCCTTAACTCTAAGCATCAATTTGCTAATTCGAGCCACTTTTGGATACAATGGACCAATAAATGATGAATATACCTAAGTACTCCTAGCATTTTAAGCATAATATTTATTGCTCACAATATCCTAGTACAAAAAACGAACTTAATGCCATATGAAATTATCTCCAAGTCGACTTTTGGTATAATGAAATGTATGTACCTATTTTGCTCTAAAGATTTGAGTTTTAAATATAAATTATTTATTGGTAAACAGAATAAGCATGCCTACTTGAAAACAATGGATGCACCTAATGTCTAAGTAGCTCAGATGGAAGAGCAGTCGCCTGGCAAGCGAAGGGTCGCACTCGTGGGTTCGATTTCCACCAAGAGCAATTTGATTTTTTCAATTTATTTAAAATAGTTTGTCTACCTGACGCAAGCAGCACAGTGCATCAGCACCTGGCACTCTCTCTGCAGAGTGTCCCGGTCCTCCGCACTCAGACCGAGATCCTCCATCAGGATATCTCCAGGCACCACCTGTAGTTTGTTGAACTGTTCGGGATGCTCGCTCTTGAGTTTGTCGAACACCTGGAATGATTTAATTTATAAAGTATGAAATACTTAATTTGGAAATTTTTTCTTCAATATTTAGTTCAAAACTTTGACAGTATATAATACACTAGCTAGGTACCATTTTTTTTTCTATTAACTTAATTTTAAGGATTAAGTCAGTTTAAACAGATTAATTTATTAATCTATTCCTCTCTCTTCTGTCGATAAAAAAGCTATTTCTCATAGCTGTAAATCTTTGCTATAACTTATTCGTAGGCGTTCGTGTGGTGCATAATGTGTAGGCAAATGAAAAAATATTAATACAATAATTACCTATTTCACATTAATTTTCAACTAAACACATACTAAAAAATACAATACGACGAAATGACGTTTAACTTTCCCGCACGAAAGTCCAAATTAATTACGATAAACAATTTTAGTACCGCTACTCCCCACTAGATAGCGCTACCACAGATAATATAATACTAGTGCGCTACTCACCCGGCAGTTCATGAAACCGTCCAGCCTCTCTTTACTTCCATGACCTTTCTTCGGTCTCATGAGCAGATAAATCTTCTTTATATCCGGACAGGATCTGAGCAGCTTCTCTATGAGGACTTTCCCCATGAAGCCTGTAGAACCAGTTATGAAGAGGGTCTTCCCGGCATAGTACTCCGGCACGGTCATAGATGGCGTCATTTTATCTGTAAACAGAATTATAATATTTTAAAAAACTTCAAAGAAAGGAGGAGGTTCGCAATTTGACTGCTATAGATGTTTGTCCTGAATTCTTGGGAGGGCAAGCTGAATATAAGTATTTGGGACGTGTATTATGTAGTGTTGCAGGAGCTCTAATCCACTTAGAGCTCCTGCACGTCGTAAAAATAAATTTAATTCCACTGAGAGCACCTGTTCAAAATATCGATAGGTGCTCTAAGTGGAATAGGCCAAGTGCTATTCGCGCAGGTGCAATTTGAACGGGTGCTTAAAGTGGAATCGTTCGTTCGTTTCAGTCAAATGACGTCCACAGCTGGACAAAGGCCTCCCCCAAGGATTTCCCTAACGACCGGTCCTGCGCCGCCCGCATCCAGGCGCTTCCCGTTCAAAGTGGAATATATATATATGTTACGGCTAAAGATAGTTGTGAACATAAACTTAAGATTAGCCGGCTAAACTTAAGTTTATCTTCGAGAAGCAGCTAAAGTTCGATAACATGTTAGTTTGCGTCGTGATATTCCATCTTTAGCCGGCTAATGTGCACATTAGCCAAAACGAAACGGCTAAAAATGTATTCGATGGGCGCGCCAGGCCGGCGGAGGGCTTGAGGGGACGGTGGGGAGACAACGCGTGCGCAGTTTTATTTTGTTTTATTTTGTAATTTTAAATACCTACAGAAGATTCTGTAATGACCAAAATGGTTTACCTTATTATTTTATTTTTAATGATTAGGTAGATATTTTTTAAGTAATTAATATTTTGTTATTGTAATAATTGTAATTTTGAATACCTACATAGGTACATAAAAGTATGTGTAATGAAAATGATTATTTTTTAATAAAGTTTTCGTGTCAAAATAGTAAACATTATTACATTGTTTCCTTTTCCATTTCCTTCTACATTTTTAGCCATGGGCCTGCGGTTACACTTAAGTTTAGCCGGCTAAAGATAGAAGAAACTAACATTAACACCTCGTCGAAGATAAACTTAAGTTTAGCCGGCTAATCTTAAGTTTATGTTTACGCCTATCTTTAGCCGTAACATATACATAGTGATCTATCAACGCACAGCCCAAACCACTGGACGGATCGGGCTGAAATTTGGCATGCAGGTAGATGTTATGACGTAGGCATCCGTTAAGAAAGGATTTTACGCAACTCCACCCCTAAGGGGGTAAAACCGGATCCACGAGTACGAAGTCGCAGGCGGCCGCTAGTTCTCTTATAAGACACATTTACAGGGGTTGGGATAGTTACCTAAATAAGTACTAATGACATGAAAAATTATGTTTTTTTCATGATTCAAGATCAATCCAAGATTTTAATTTTAATTTCCTATCATTGAATCAAGACGAGTACAATGTACACTGAGAAATGTCAAATTCGCAATCCTTAAACAAATACCAATGCCAAACAAAATAGAGGTCCGAAGTAGGAACGAAACCTCGTGCTTTTCATGGTCGTGGTCTAATACGCACTAGTGTTGCATAGGTAAAGGCAAGAATAGTATCGATAAATCATTTAAATCAATCGAGGTATTCCTCGAAAACGAAGGTGACTGTTTCTTCCGCCACTTCTCAGCTCCAGCCCATAATATGGGCATATTATGTAGGCCTCCCACTAGGTGGACCGACGATCTGGTGAAGGTCGCGGGAGGTACCTGGATGCAAGCGGCTCAGGACCGGTCTTTGTGGAAATCCTTGGGGGAGACCTTTGTCCAGCAGTGGACGTCTTTCGGCTGAAACGAACGAACGAACGAACGATTATGTTGTCACTTCTTCTCAGCACCAGCCCATATGTTGTCCCGAAGTGGTGGTAGGGCAAGCTATATTTGAGACGTGTATAAGTGCCCTGGAAAGGACCCAAGTACTGAATAAAATCTTGACATTGACTTGCACCCATTTTGAGGCGCGCCTTATGATGTGGTTAGTTATTTCTGACTTTGCAATTACTGTCGAAATATTAGATACTAAATAAGTTTGCCTGCAGCATGCTATTGAGTACGGGTAGTAAGTACCCAATGATTTTCAGGTTGACTCATACGTTTTGGCGCGCTTTTAGCAGCTGAGCGAATAATATGTTTGTCTCAAAGCGCTAGGAGGGCCCAAAAGATAATCATAGCCCCATAAGGGCAATTTCTTTTTGTTATTAGGTATTTTTGACGAAAATACTGGTCAAACCTACTTTATTTCTACTCATTCTCAGTTTGGCCCTAAGGCTGACTGGAGGAGAATCCCGAATGGCATTAAGTTCGCTTTATGTACATACCTACCGTGATTTAATCCTTGGACATTTTACACTGCGCCTCTAGCCCCAAACTAAGCAAAGCTTGTACCTACTATGGGTAACTAGACAACGATTAAACATTGCGGTTTTCAATATTATACTATCGATATGCTATGTTTCGAGGTCAAATATCGATAGTTCTACATCACTAACACGCACCAGACCGAAACGGTTTATTGGGACTGCATACGGAATGGCCCATTATGCTTTTAAGACAAAATTATGCAACTCTTTATTGGTTCCAGTGTTGTAATTAATGCGCTCCAAACATTGTTGATAAACTAATAAATTAATCACGCATTCACAAACGACGCTTGCTTTAAAGTGAAGCAGAAAATCGAACGCTCAGCGTTGAATAGAGCTCTGTGATTGGTTCGTATGTCACCCTGTGCGTCCACGCGCACTGTGAGACCTCATAGTAATGTTTGTGAATACGGGTGTAAGTTTCTTGCGCTGCTTCTTCTCAGAACTGGACCATTTATTGTCAACAACAATCTACTTTAGAATGTTAGAGGTGGGCCCAATCACGGAAAAAACTATTTAATAACTTTAAAAAAAAAAATAAAACCGACTTCAAAAGCGTGAACACTATTCAACAAAAAAAAAATCGTTCAAATTGGTTCATAATCGGCGGAGATATTGCGTATAAAAAAGTTCATCCCCAATTTTCCACCCTTGGGGGTGAAATATTTTCTTCAAATTCGCATGAAACCACCCTTTTGATAATACCTATTCAACAAAAAAATAATCGTTCAAATTGGTTTATAATCGGCGGAGATATTGCGTATAAAAAAGTTCAACCCCAATTTTCCACCTTTGGGGGTTGTTTTTTTTATTATTAAATTTAAATGGGACCACCCTTGAGGTATTACCTATACGCCGAAAAAAGATTTGTTCAAATCGGTTCATAATTGGCGGAGTTAACGCGTAACAAACATAGAAAAAAAAAACATACGGGTCGAATTGAGAACCTCCTCCTTTTTTTGAAGTCGGTTGAAAATTCAAACCAGTGACTTGGCCGTGGACCAAGCTAAAAGTGGGCAAGTCACTGGAAGACTCGCAGTGGCAGGCTTGGTCTTTTTAGGTCATCATCATCATCATCTCAGCCACAGGACGTCCACTGCTGAACATAGGCCTCCCCCAATGCTTTCCATGTTGCCCGGTTGGTAGCGGCCTGCGTCCAGCGCCTTCCTGCTAAAGTCAAAGTCAAAGTCAAAATTTCTTTATTTGTTTAGACTAATAAATAGTTCTTACAAATCGTCATTTTGCTCTTAAGGAGCCTCTACATGTCTCATAATCTTTTCACCCTACCAGCGCTTCGAGACCAACATTTGGCAAGTGCTGAGAAGAAGCGCCGCACAGTAGTCGGCAAGCGGAAAAAAGTCCAATATTGGAAGGTTCTAATTCATTAAAATTAGCATAGTAGCCTTATTGTAGAATAGTTATGGGATCATAATCACAAAAAAAATAATTAATTAAACGTTATTTTAAAGGAAAATTATGCGTCATAAGTTGATCAAACACGAAATATTTATTTAAGCGTAGTTTCTACGCTCGGATGTCTACGAATGTATTTCTTAAGACATTGATGATATCAACAATATTTCTTTTTAATTGTCTTTTATGAAGCATTATGTATTTACATTTAAACTATATTTTGCAAATAACTGCTGTCGTCATGTCCTACTTGACCTATATAAAAGACACTCTTTTATATTCGAAATTATTGCTTTTCTTGGACCATAACTTTTTTGCCTTGTCGATCCTAGTGGAGATGTATGTATCAAAAGATTCCTTAGTCCTTCTAGTAACTAGCCTATTATAAATTAGCTGCTAATATCTGCTACCCTTGTACATAAGTTGGAATAACTTGGATTGACCAGTCCCAGAAAGCAGCGCCTGTTCACAGACATGACGAGTGAACCAGCCATCGCTTCACTCGACCATATTAGAGGGAATGTAACGACCCGCCTCACTACGCCACCACCCCAGAGACATTTTAGTGAGAATGACAATACCAAGTTATCTCTTAAAGAAAAAAAAAACCAATAGTAAAGCTAAGTAACAGTCCAGATTGAGAAGCATGACACTATAATATTTTAGAAAATTAGATTAGTTTATACATTACTTTTCATAGCACGATTTTAATTCTTTTTAGTGCGAGCATGAGAGGACCATAATCCTACTCCCAGGATGACTTATCATTAAGAAAATCTCGAGTTGTATAATAGGCTTTTTTAAGCATGTGATCTTTAACTATACCTTTAAATTTATTGTACGGTAGCTCTTTATATTTATCAGGGACTTTGTTATAAAAATGGATACCTTGTCCCATAAAGGTGGCAAACACTTTATTAAGTCTAAAAGCGGGTATAGGCAATTTATTTTTATTTCTAGTATTGATTTGGTGAATATCACTTTTCTTTTTGAATTCATTAATATTTTGTTGAATAAATAGAATACAGTTTAAGATGTATTGTGAAGCGGCCGTGAGAATGCCAATTTCTTTAAACAGCTACCTTTATGTTGTCGTCGGTCCACCTTGTGGGTGGACGTCCCGTGGCCTTTTTAGGTAGGTAGGCAATAGGCTAGTTTCCTAAAAAAACTTTTAGTCCTCCGTCCTTCTGGTGCAGTTAGTTTTTATTTGTCACCTGTCATCCGCATTGCAATGGAGGGAAGAAGTCGAACCTTAATTTCGAACT